CCCCAAAACCCCAAAACCCCAAAACCCCATAACATGTTTCGCTTTAATTATGAGAAAATATTTTGCTCAATTTAAATCAATTTCATAAGTAAAAATGCTATCGTCTCTGAATTCACTCTCCTTTTTCATAATAAAACTTGGATTAAATCACTTGTTATAAACTTTCTTATCTTCCTCAGTTTCCTCATAGTTATCCCACTTAGTTACATTAGCCTTGGCTTCATCAACAAATTCCTTCATATTAGGCATAATAATGGCAATTGTATCCCAAAGGGGAAGTGTAATTCCGTTGATAAATCCTGGCTGCATTTTAGGCACAATGGTAGTTTCTCTGTTACAAAGGAATGATATCGGAAGTCCTTGATCTTTTTCTAAATCTCCTTGGTTGAAGAACTCCTCAAAAAGTAAGTAGGTCCACTCCTTAACAACTTCAAAAGGTCTAGTTGGTTATGACACATCACAAGCATGTAAGCAGCATTCAAGAATAAACTGTTGACTCTTAAAAATAGCTGCTTCATTCTCCTTGTTAATTACTAGGAAGGCATTTTCTCCTGCTTTGATTTATTTAGCATCAACTAAACCCTTAAGACCTGAAAGATCTGCTGCGTGCTTTGCCATGTCTGTTGCTAGGATACAACCTATAACTCTCTTTCTAAACACTTTCATCTCATCTGCTGTCAGTTACTCCAAAAAGTTTGTTTCATCCTTCTTAATAATAGCAAATGTCTCAGCCACATGATAATTTTCTTGAACACTGACATCATTGTACCTAATGGCTCTGTCAGTGAAAGCATTAACATGATATCCGTTAGTAAATCCATCATGGCCTAGGTCATGGCATATAGCTGCAGTTAAAAAAGCCATGATATCAATATGCTCTAACTCTGCTAATTGAATCAGTCCTCCCTATAATAGGAAAAGATTCGCCATATGAGCTGCATCTATACCATGCAAATCATTGTGATACTAAACATCCCTCCTATATGTTCTTACCACATCTTCAAAGAACATAGCTAGCTTTCTTTCATTAATGTAAACATCTAGATGATGCTAAATGAAAAGATGTAGCCCTAGGATTGGCAATACAAGATGTCTTCCTATTTAGGAGGTAAACTAAAAGATGTTAAATGATCTATTATCAATATCTTTTAGTTAGCTCTCTAATTTCTCATAGTCTGAGACTAGAGATCTTATGGTTGATCTCCTTCTAAAGTTTTTAATCATTTCTTTAGAGGTAGTTTAACCAGAGGAGCTTTGATCTGCCACACTACTACTAGAAGAATGCCTGCTCAAACCTTATAATTTGGCAGCTCTTAAGGAGGAGGAACTGCTGCTTTCGTGGTTTGCATCCGAGTACTCATTTAGCCATCCCTCAATAATCTGGCTATTTTTTTTCATGTTTTCGGGAAGAGGAATGTTAATATCAAATTATTGCAGAGCTGAGGTCTGATAAATTCTCCTCTCAGCTATGTTATTAATAGCAAAGTTAATCTCCCTAAGAATTTCTTCACTGTCATTAGCCTCTTGATCTCTAAGATATGTGTCTTTAATAAGCAAAAGTGTCTTGATAATTCTCTCTGCAGGAGTAGCATACGCTCCAACTATTTTCTAGTAATCCTAATCTGCGATTTGATTCATTAGTTTGATAAGGTCTTTATAGAAAACATCGAATCTTGCTTAACTGTTCTCATAAAATGTCAGAAGAGTCTATGCCTCTCCAACTTAAACAACTTCTTGCAAATCAATGACTCCTATTATGATTGGCAAATTTTAGGAGTTAACTATTATGTGATTCTCAGAATCGGTAAATAAACCTGAGTCTTTAAGTTTTTACTCCCACTCAGTAAGAAAGAGTTAATTCATTTCTTATTCTAGTTAATTTGGTACTTGCAATGACTCTACCATTACTGACTAATTACTATGACCTTATTAATAAATTCTTAAACAGTTTAAAATTGGATTATTACAGCATTCCGGGGTTTTGGGGTTTTGGGG